CATGTGATTAGGAAAGCAAATGAAACGCTGTTGTTTATTACAAAGGGAATGGAATTTAAAAGTAGGTATGTTTTGCTGCATTTTGTAGGCTATTAGTGAGACCACATTTGGAGGAGTACTGGGTACAGTTTTAGGTCGATTATTGGGGAAAGCTAAAGGCACATTTTGGTGCAGTTCAGAAAAAGTCCATGACTAATTTCTGGTCTGAGGGGATTATCATATGAAGAAAGGGCATACTAGGGCAGCATGGCGGCTCAGTGGTTAGTACTGTTGCCTCACAGCACTAGGGACCAAGGTTCGATTCCAGCCTTGGCCGACTGTCTGTGTGGAGTTTGCACATTCTCCTTAGGTGCTCTAGTTTCTTCCCACAGTCCAAAAATGTGCAGATTAGATGGATTATCCATACTAAATTGCACATTGTATCCAGGGAGGTGCAGGCTAGGTGGATTAGCCATGGGAAATAAAGGGATAGGGTGGGATAGTAAGTCTAGGTGGAATGCTTTTCGGCGGGTCCGCATGGACTCAATGGGCCAAAAGGCGTGCTTCCACACTGTAGGGATTCTATGAAAGGTTGGACAGTCTGAGACTATATCCATTGGAATTTCGAGGTATGAGAGGTAGCCTTGTTGAAACTGAGGGGACGTGACTGGGTGGATGCTGAAAAGATGTTTCTGCATGTGGGAAAAACTGGAACTAAAAAGTACAAAGTTTGGAATTAAAAGGGTCTCCTCTTTAAGACTAAAAATGAGGAATTTTTTTTCCCTCTCAGAGAGTCATGAGTCTTTGGAGGCAGGGTCATCGAATATTTTTAAGATAAAGGCAGATAGAATTGGACTAACAAGGTAGTCAATAGTTATTGGGGTAGAGGGGTATGTGGACTGGAGATCAGCCATGATCTTGTTGAATACATGGAGCAGGCTACAGGGGTCAAATGCCCTCTCCTGCTCCAAATAGGCATGAGTGAGTGTGAGACAGGTGGTCCAACAATAGCATCCCTTACTAAGCCAACTTGCCCAGCATCAAGGTGATCATCACCTAAAGCCAGCTCCAGTAGATAGGAAATGCTGTTTGCATGGCTGACATAAGATTCTGTTTTGTTTAAAGCTCAGTCAAGACAGGAAGACACCCAGTTGGTCAAACAAATGTTCTCAAAGCATCCTTAAAGAAATCAAACAACACCTCTGACTCATAGGAGTCTTTGATTTTTGACTGACTTTAAAAAAGTATTCATTAGAATTCCTTAGCTTGGTCTCCAGCCATAACACTACTGGAAAATGTTGACATCATCATCCAACATCAACCCCCTGTTTGGGTTCATCTGCATTCACAAGGGATCACTTAGTCATCTCTTGACATCAAATCACAAATGTCATCATTAGTGAGAAAATGCACAATAGGACATGAAACGAAGCTCGAACAATGTTGGGTTTGATAATTTAGCAGATGTAAGTGCTCAGAAGGCATTTACTTATATTAAAAGTGATTAAGGGGCCTGTTTGTGAGGAAAAGCTCTACAGTTCAAGCGATCACAGAAAGTGGAATTTTTCTCTTCCTGGTATGGCATGGTAATGGTGAGAAAGGTGGGAAAGTATAGTGAGAATGGAAAAATTGGAATCTTAACATCGTGGAAAATTTTTTCTAACTTTTCCCTTAAGCTTTAAATGTATCTCGTTGTTGAGTGGTAACTATCTCATTTCCATGTATTTACATCACATTAAAGACCCAACCTGACTTATTTATGCACCACTTCCAATTCTCCTGCTTGTTCCTGAGAAACTACATGGTGCAAATTCCTAACATACAAGTCAGAGAAAGTACCTAGGAAATGCAGCTCACTAATTGCTTGTTCTAGCTGCAGAGATCGTAACAAAGTCAGCCAAGTGGGCCTCATAGAATATGAGTTCCCTGATTGGGAGTGTTAACGTGGTCCAATTAGGGACCCCTGGCTAACAGATATAAACAGGAGTGTTGGGGGTTTGTTCACTCTGAGAGCTGGCTCTGAGGGAGCTGGATCAGTGTCAAGAATTTTCCATCTGTGAATAAAGGGTGACTTGGTTACGGGATATCGGCCTCTGGGGAGTTATTTCAGTGGTGACGAGAATGGGATTAATGATGTAACCATGCAAAAGCGCCCACTAGCTGAAGCCTTACTGGACTTCAGATACTACAACTGGCTTTATCATTGGAAAATGCAGAAAGTAGAGCATACAAGTTGTATGGTATTCCAATAGAAGTGGACACCCTCGCCAGTCTGACTGAGCTTGAGAAACACCACTTGAGTGAAGGAAATTGTATAGCCTCACTCACGACACATCCTGAACAGAGGCACTCTATGTCATCCCACAGCAAAACCCCAAAACAAAGCAAAGCCCCACCCAAATGATTACAATTTTCTTCAGGATTCAGGCCAGCAAACCGCTGTAGTTGCTGCCAGCATGCAGACTTGAGACAAGAAGAGAGTCCCACTAGACCTAACACTGAGTCCAAGGACGTAGACCAATTCTTTTATTTTGTAGCTACTCCTGGGGCATTTTAGCACCAGGTCAGGTTCCGCCAACTCTGACACTGATATGGGCATGTGTAACGTAGCTCGCCCCTTGTGCCCAGGGCATCTTGGAAGAAATTTATTCTCCTCTTCTGGTGGCAAAGGCATCAAGGTGGCAACATCCACCATGTCTACCTCAGATCGCGAGGTATCTTGAAAATGCTTGACCAAAGAGGAGAACCCATGCATTCTGGAACTGTTGGAAAAGCAGTCGAGGAGCAGGGAACATTTTGCTCCCGCATTGTTTGCGAGTTTGCAGCTTTCATATGGTCCACTTGCTTCTTCAGGACCATTGTATCTACTCGAACTTTATATGTCACCGGACCTGAACTTTAGCCTATTGCTGTGATTCCTACACCAAACTTCATCCCTGAAGTAAACTGCCTCTCTTGCTTAGCGGAGCCTTGTGTTTGGCCTTGGTGTTCCTGATGCCATTTCACAAGCCATCCTCCAACTGTGTCTTCATCACAATTGCCCTGAATGCTCCATGGACACTATCATCCTCGGTCCTTCATCTGTGCAAGTTGACAAAAACAAACCACCAACTTCATCACGTCAGCTAGCTGTTCCTGGTCCAATTCCCATACTATTCACCCTTTCAATGCTTTTCTTTGGGGGTCTTTTGACTGAATGCCTCTGCCAGGCTGCTAAGTGCACAGCAACACATACAAGTCTCATGCATCTGCATGTGATGCACCTTGTGGTTCTTAGCTTGCTTTCTTGGCACTCATTCACTTTATATATATTTGGAGGCTGTCAGTCGATGTGGCTTGCATTGCCTTTTAATGAAGAGGAAGAGGCAAATATCTTGTCACCATGAGGACATGAATCTTTGACCTTTTCTCTTGTTGTCTCATTTTCTACTTGATTTTCCTTGACTTCTTTGGGCAATCCCACTTTCAAGTATCAAAACATTACATGTCCTGCTGTCTATTAGGTAAAAAACAGCAGAGAGACAGTGCACGAACATGGCACAGTGCCAAGGTTAGACAGTCCTTAGGGCTTCAGTCAGCATGGCATATCTGAATGCTTTGCTCTCATGATCGCGAGCAGGTTGAGAGACTTCTGAAGCATCTCATTTTGATCCTCCCATCATCAGTAACCTTTCAAATAAAGACAAATTACTGTGGATGTTGGAAATCAGAAACAAACGCAGAGAATATTCAAGAAACTCAGAAAGTCTGACAGCATCTGTGGACAGAGAAATAGAGTTAATGTTTTGAGTCCTGTAGAACTTTTCTTCAGAATTGAGAAGCAGAGTTAATATTTCCGTTAATGTTAATATCAATGCCGTCGGACAGACAGTTGCATACATTCCACGAGTTGCTATCTCTGAAGCCTTTAAATTACTACACCAGTGTCAATATGATTGTTATATAATAGTGTAAGGCTTGAGAGAGTTAATGCTGAGGAATGCCTTTATCAAAGACCAATATAATGATGTCTTGCTGAACTAGGAAGGTGGAACAGCTCAGTTTCTTGAAGGAGGCAGAATTACCAGCTTCATAATAACCGAAAGAACTGTGGGTGCTGTAAATCCGGAACAAAAGTTGCTGGAAAAGCTCAACAGGTCTGGCAGCATCTGTGAAGAAAAAATCAGAGTTAATGTTTCGGGTCCGGTGACTCTTCCTCAGAACTGAGACCCACCAGCTTGGTCTTCTTCATTGTGTTTGTAACAAGGTCTATTGCAACTGCATAACTTGCAACACATGGAAAATGCACGCTAAACTTTGCCGAATTTGGGAAGTGTCTGAATGATTAAGAGCTGGTTATGGGCCACGTAAGGAAATTAGTTACACGAGAAACGTTTTGTAGGTTAACAAGAACTGAAAGAGATGGTTTTCACGCCCGTAGGGGTGATTGGAGATATAAAATCCCTAGGTTCGGTGTTCCTCTGAGATGTTGCTACAAGGCGGTATGCCCCATTGTTATGAATGAGCCACGGGCTCACCGGAGCTCCCGGGAAACATTCCATTCTCTCAGGCAATTCTGACCCCGCCCATTCCACACCCCACCCTAGCCACGCCCCCTACCACTATGGCCCGCCCATTGTATCCAGGCACCGCCCACCGCTCGTCTTGTACCAATCCAAGACCCCCAACCTTGACACGTCAACCCTCCAGCCCACGTACGCACGTGCACAACTTTCCCGCTCCCCGGGCCCTCCGTCACCTGGATGGCCCCACCCACCGCCTCCATACCCCAGCCCTTCGCGTGTCTGTCCCCGCCCCTCATTGTGGCCCCGCCCTCCACGCATCCAACGCCCCCGCGCGGATGGCCCCGCCTCCACCGCGGGCGTCGCGCCCTGTCCCGCCCCCGCACTTATTTGTGCCACCGCCCCGCCCCTTACCCGTCCCCTCTCCCGGGTGAGACCGCCCATCGACCGGTTTACCCCACCCTCCCAGCTTCTGGCCCCACCCACCCAGCCCCTGGTCCCGCCCGCCGCGTGCCTGGCCCCGCCCTTCCCGCTCCCCGGATGTGGCCGCCGCTCCGCCGGCTGTGGTTGGGTAACATGGCGTCGTCGGTGGAGTAACGGGATGGGGAAAGACGGCTATCGTCACCTCAGACAGACAGACACATCGTTATTTTTCTGCAGCTGCAATTGATGAAGGGTCGGACAAGGTAAGATTGATTCTCGCATTGGGGATGAGGTAAATGTCAGTGACATTGTGTCGATGATGCTTCGATCTGACGGTTGGGGTTAGAAAACGGTTGAAGCGCACCCTGACAGCAGCTTTTTGTTTTGTTCTGAGAGAGGGCAGCGATATTAACTTTACTCCTCAGCCTCGCAGACAAAGAACGCGGTGCTGAAATCAGCTTCGATGGGTATCCTTTCGGATCTGCCTTTCTGGTAGGAAACAGGTGCAATGTTGGGGAGAACCGACGATCTCTTACAAACCAGTGCCCGATTGTGTGTCTCTCCGCCGGAAATGTCAGTTTTATTTTCCCCTTACAATTTAAATGACACTTGGGGTCGTTTCCCTCCCCCCAGTTCCATCATAAACAAAAGGCGCTCTCTTCCTCTTTTCATGTCAACGTTGTCACACGTTTGCTGCTTGGTTCGTTCTTCCACTTGAATGAATGACCATTTGAATCGAGGTTTCCCTTTCTTTGGCATTCGCTTTATCCAGTACCCTCCAGCTTTGTACATCATATTCTGTACTACAATGCTTTCAAGGGTTTGAAATGGAAAAGTTTTGTTTATCTGTCAACATTGCAAGGAAGAGCGACGTGTATAACCGTATATGAAAGTTTTGATAACAGATTAGGAAATGCGTATCTTAAAAATTTGGAGGAGTATCTTCGAAGAACCTAATGGTGGTTGACTCGTCAGATAAGATGTCATTTGTTTCGAATGATCATATGGTTTTTGGAACAGATCTGTGTTGGTTTTATTTTCTATATATGCTTCTTGCTATTGTACTGAGTACGAAGTAAAATTACTCTTAATTTGATATTTCCATCTGTAGTTGGTAACGTTTGTATTTTAACGGAACTTTCTAATTTGGTAATTTTTAAAATGCTCACTATGTTGCAGATTCAGCTATATTTGCTTCTTGATTTGTGGGATATATTGCACACACTTACAAAGTAAACACATTCGGCTGTTATTCGTACTTTGAGTTTTGTGAATTGCAAATTGGTTTTATCTGTTGATACATTGTTATGATCAGACTCCAGGTGATGTACTTCAAGTCATTATGGTTTCAGATGGGTTACCCCAAATTGTTGAGCTTGAATGAAGAAAGACGAACTGGTTCCTTTGTAGATATCTATCTTCTACAATAAATTAACTTATGTTTTAGAGCCAGTTTAAAGAGACTTTCTTGAGTATCAAAAGAGTGAGTTTATTAATGACTAGGAGAGGAAATAATAATGCAATGCACACACAGAGATTAGCAATAAGAAGTGAGCCCAAACAAAAAAGTTTCAAAGAACAGTTAGTCTTTGACTGCTTCATGAAGCGTAGGAAGTAGAACATTGCAGCCATTGCAGTGGTTGTTAACGATACCATCAACATTGGTAATTGGATCATTTGTTTTTAATATTTTTAGCTTTGCAAATTGATTTAAAATTTTCCTAGTTCCTGTTGAAAACAATGCTTGCTGGCTGGCAGCACTCGGAGTGGGACAGAATATTTTCTTTCTTTACCTGTAGTGCTGGAGTATTTAATGTCTTTTCTCAAAACTGGGGCCTTTGCAGCACACTAGTCCACACAATAGGTCGTCTGACCACTACCACATGTGTGTCCTCTCACACACACGGTTGAAGCTCACTATTAAACCATGTCCATGTGTATCCTTTAAAGAGGATAAAGCAAATATGCCTCTGAAATAACTACATAGAGACCGCTATCCCATCACCAAGTCATTCTTTATTTCGATGTGCACAGTTCATGGGCTCTGACCAGTCAGCTCAGAGCTGGTCCCTTGAATAAGGAGACTCTTTGAATCTCCTGTTTATATCTGTCAGCCACCAGGACTGGCCCAGGTTAAAAACCCTAATCAAGGATCTCATAGTCAAGGAGACTAACCTGGCCCTCGTTCCAATCGTTACATCAACCTCTCTTCCAGATTAGTGTTTTTGTTTTAACCGTCGTATTCACAATCTGAGATGCTCATAGGGAATGGGAGTTCAGGTTTTTAAATTCATTCTTGGGGATGTGGGCATCACTGATGGAACTAGTGATTATTGGTAATCTCTAGCTGTCCTTGAGGAGGTGGTGGTGATTTGTCTTAAACTGTTAACAGTCCATTTGGTGTAGGTATCCCCAACAATTCTGTTAGGGTGGGAATTCCAGGAATTTTGCCCAGAAACAGTTAAGGAGCAGCAATAAAGATTCAAGTCAGGATGGGGTGTAGCTTGGAGAGGAATTTGCAGGTGGTGGTGTTCCATGCATTTTTATCCTTGTCTTTCTAGATGGTAGTGGTCATGAGTTTGGAAGGTGCTGCCTAAAGAGCCTTGGTGAACTTCTGCAATGCATCTTTTACATGGCACACATTGCTGCTACTGAGTGTCGGTGGTCAAGGCAGTGAATGTTTGTGGATGTGGTGCTGGTCTGGCAAGCTACTTAGTCCTCGATAAGCTTCTTGTGTTGTTGGAGTGCACTCATCCAGGCAAGTGGCAAAAATTGCATCATATTCTTGACTTGTTCCTTGTAAGTGGTGGACAAGCTCTGGGAGTCTGGAGGCGAGTTAATTGCTATAATGTTCCGAGCCTCTGACTTGCTCTTGATGTCACTACACTTACATGGCTAGTGGAATTCAGTTTCCGGCCAATGGTAACCACCAGGATGTTGATAGTGGGGGTTTTTGTGGTGATAATGTCATTGAATCGCAAGGCACATTGATTAGGCTTTCTCTTATTGGAGATGCTTATTGCTTGGCAATTGTGTTATGCAAATGTTACTTGCCATTTGTCAGCCAAAACCTAGATACAGTTCTTGCTGCATTTGGATTTTGACTGCTTCAGTAGCTGAGGGAGTTGCATATTATGCTGAACATTGAGTACTCACCAGCAAAAATCCCCACTTCTGACTGTATGAAAGAAGGAAGATGTTTTCTGAAGTAGCCAAAGATAGATTAGCCTAGGACACTAACCTGAGGAATATCTGCAGAGATGTCCTGGAACTGAGCTGCCTAAAACCACAATCATCACTCTTTTTGCTGGATATGACTCCAACTAGCTGAGAGTTTTCTTCCTGATTTCCAATAACTGTACTTTTTCTAGGTCTCTTCAATCTCTCACTTGGTCACGCTGGCCTTAATATCAAGGGCAGTTAGATGCATGTCCCCTCTGGAATTCAGCTCTTTTGTCCATGTTTGAATTTAGGTTGTAATGAGGTCAGGAGTTGATTGGCCTGGGTGGAACCCAAACTGAGTGTCAGCGAGCAGGTTACTTCCAAACAAGTACTACTTGATTGTACTGTTGATGACCCCTTCTATTACTTTTTTGATGATTGAGCGTAAACTGACGCAATGGTTGGCTTTGTCCTGCTTTGATGTCCAGTCCATATCTGGGCAATTTACCACATTGTCACATAGATGCCACTATTGGAACTGCACTGGAACAGCTTGGCTGTGGATGCTGCATGTACGATTGCTGCAATATTATCAGGGCTGAAAGACTTTGTAGCATACAGTTCTTCTGGCTGTTTCTTGATGTCACATGGAGGGAATAGAATTTGCTGAAGGTTGGCATCTGTAATGTTGTGGACCTCTGGAGGAAACCAAGATGGATGAATCACTTGGTACTTCTGACAAAAAATTGTAAATACTTCAGCCTTATCTTTTGCCCTGATGTACTCAGCTCTACTGTAGTTGAGAATAGGAATATTTGTGGAACCTCCCCACATCTATTCATTGTTTAATTGTCCACCACCATGCAAGGCTATAGAACTTAGATCTGATCTTTTGGTTTTGAAATCACTGAGCCCTGCCTGTTACTTTTTGTTTCACCAGATTGACATCTCATTTTTGAGTATGCCCAGTGTTGCTCCTGAAATAATCAAGTGTTCATACATGGAACAATAAATGCTGTATTGAACAAATTAAACATTTGAAATAGCCTTTAGTGAATAAAGAATTAGGACTCCCTCCTGTTGTGTTTGTACCTACGCAATACAGACTGCAGTGGTTAAAGAAGGCTGCCCACTGCACCTTTTCAGTGTCAGTTAGGGGTGGGCAAAAAAGGCTGGCCCATCACCTGAATTAATGAAAAAAAATCCCAATATAATACAAACTGATTTAATGCACCATGAAATCGTTAGTTGATGTAATTGTTTTAATGAGGAGCTAACCTTTACACATTGTGCACATGTTTTATTTGATTGCATGTAGCTATAATATTAAGAGATTTGAATGGCACATTTTCGCATATAAACTTTTTGAAAAATAAATAAATAATGTATCATGTGTAAAATTGGAACCATGTAAAGATGGATCCATTTAATAGCCTAAAGTATTTTTTAACCTGTCATGGCATCCTGACTAACCCATCAAAATTCACACAGACTCTCCTGTGAGGTTTGTTCCAGTGAGTAACTGAGCTAAAGTCATCGTACTCCCAGAGGACCATAGGGCTGTTCTCTCATTAGGGAGAGAGAAAGAGCAACTGAGCTATGGCAGTGAAGATCTCATTAATAGAGTGATTGGTTATGCCCTACTAGTTGAGAAAGCAAAAAAATTGGGCAGGTTCTGACTTTGTATAATCCTTAAATAATCTCTGCACATGTGGATGTTGGATAGCGATAAGAACAGACATGATTACTATTGCTTGTTAAATACTGTACAAGATTTCTTGGTTTCTAAAGCTGATAAGTAATTTTTTTCCAGCATCTATATGTGGGCCTCACTGGCAAGACCAACGTTTATCATCAATCCTCCAATATCATTGTGTTGATGGTTGAACTGCTTGAACATCTGCAGACAATCCTGTAAAAGTGCTACAACAATCTTGTTAGTGAGGAAGTCCTATGATTGTCATGTAGAAATGACAGTATATGTTCAATTGAGGTGTGTGTGAATTGGAGGTTATAGTGTTCTCTTGCATCTCCTGCCGTTGTCTTTGTGAGTGATAGGGATTGCTGATTTGGGAGGTGAGTTGAGTGGTACATCATTTGG